CCCCGAGACGGCCCCAGAGCCGCCCAAGACGGCGCAAGAGGGTCCCAAGAAGGCCCCAAAAGGGGCCCAAGAGAGGGAACGCGAACTGAAAAATCATGCTCTCCGCTCCAAGATGCCCCCAAGAGGCTCCAAGATGCCCCCAGGAAGCCCCCAAGAGGCCCCAAGAGGCCCCCAAGAGGCCCCAAGAGGCCCCCAAGAAGCCCAAAAGAGGCTCCAAGATGCCCCAGGACGGCACCCAAAAGGCTTAAAAACTGTTTCTCAGAGGCCCCTGAGGACATGCCAAGAAGGTCTCATAACGACTTCAAGAAGCAGTCCCGGATGCTCCGCGGAGGCCCCAAGAAGCTCGCTAGAACTTGAGCACGCGCGAAGCGCGCGCGATGGTTCTAGCATATATATATATATATACATCAGAGTGAACGGGCCGAACGGTCATTCATTGTCCCTGGGTGCGCGGCTGAAAAAGGAATTCGAGGTGAGAGTTCCGCTTGTTGCGATGTTTTTGAATGTTAACTACTAAACAATGATTATTGTTGGACCCCTGAAAGGCGCCCTGGCGCTCTCGCTGAGGCGCCGGCTACATTTTCATTGAAAATGAGGCTCACGCTCGAGCGGTTTGGGAGATCGCCAAAACCGGCCCCCCAACAACAACAACGCTCCCGCTCGAAATTTCCTCCTTTTTTGCTCAGGGCTGGTGTTCTTGCTCGCCGCCGAAAAAGCGGCCGTCCCAACAAAACCAGCGCTCCCGCTCGAGACTTCCTCCCGTTTTACCTCGGACTGGCGCGCTAGTCTTTCTCTCATCGACGCCGCCCCCAGCAAAAACAACGCTCCCGCTCTAAGCTTCCTCCCTTTTTTACTCAAGGCGGCGCCCCTCTTCGCAGCCGAAAGCCGCCGCCCCGACAAAACCAGCGCTCTCGCCCGAGATTTCCTTCCGTTTTATGCTGGGCTTGCGCCCAACTCTCTTTTGAATTGGCGCCGCCCCCAGCAAGAACAACGCTCCCGCTCGAGATTTCTTTTCTTTTTCTTCGTGATGGTGCTGTTCCTCGCCGCCGACAGCCCCCGTCCCGACAAACCACGGCTCCCGCTCGATGCTTCCTCCTTTCTTACTCAAGGCGGTGGTCCTCGCCGCCGAAAGCCGCCGTCCCGACAAAACCAGCGCTCCCGCTCGAGACTTAGTTTTGCTTTACGCTGGACTGGCGCCCTACTCTCTTCAGCATTGGCGCCGCTCACAGCTATAATTAACAGCAGCCCTGCTCGAGACTTCCTCCCTTTCTATTCAGGGCCAGGTCCTTGCCTCACCGCCGACAGCCCCCATCCCCACCAAGGCAATCCTGTCGTTCGATACTTCCTTGTGCTTTACCCTTCGCTGGGGTTCCACTGGCGGTCTCGCATCGGCGCAGCAAGGCGCGGGCATGTGTTTCCGAGGCGGGATATGTTGAAACTCCTCGGAGGGGGTGTTTGCAAGACCTCATTGGGCGGGATATTTGGGAATGGGAATAGCGGACCCCGCTATAGAACAAGAGTCCCCCATGATGTGGATGGTTAACATGATGGTCGCATTCTTCGTGCGGAAACGTCGCGCATGAGGATAACCATGTTATTGTTGTTGTTGTTGTTGTTGTTGTTGTTGTTGTTGTTGTTGTTGTTGTTGTTGTTGTTTGTCGTCGTCGTCCAACCCGCGACCCACCCCGCGACCCACCCCGCGACCCACCCGCGACCCAACCCGCAACCCATCCGCGACCCACCCCGTGACCCACCCGCGACCCACCCGCGACCCACCCGCGGCCCACCCCTCGACCCACCCTCGACCCACCCCGCGACCCACCCGCGACCCACTCCGCGGCGCACCGTCAAGGGAGGAACAACCACCCGACCCGACAATTGACGTTTACTAAAACGGCCCTGGGCGTTGACCAAACAGCCCTGCCCTGTTCGATTCATTCTTTGTGTGCGTTTACTAAACGGCTTCGCTTGTCGGTGTGATTTTTAAGGGGTGGATTTTCTGCACTCTACACCCGCGACCCAGCAGCGACCCACCCGCGACCCATTTGCGACCCATCCGCGGCCCACCCGCGACCTACCCACATTAGTTTAACGAAATAACCTGCGCCTGCGGCAGGCTCGTTGCATAATGTGTGAAACTTTGGCGCCTGCAGCGGGTTGTTCCAGAGTCTCGCAAACTGCCGACGTCCCCCCCCCCGCCCCTAACTCTTATCCGCATCTGCGGGGTGTTATTTCTATATATATATACACATATATTCACACATGCATCGAACATGGCACATAGTTTCGCAACAATAATTGTCAACGAAGCCTGCGCCCGCGCTCTTGCGAATTCCAAAGAACACAGCCATCGATTTCAACAGTTTCGTCAACTGCTACCAAAAAGGCATCTCGCGCGCACGTGTCGAAATCGCTTCAACGCCCTTGCGCGCGTGCTGTCGCGAGAATCCCTGGCCGAAAAAGGGAGGAAGTCCACACGCCCGCGTGGTCGCTCGCGCACGCGGGAATCCTTCAAGAACTTTAGCTTTCGTAGGGAGTTCAAGACCGAGTGCCCCGAAACACATAAGAACACATGGTTTTGCAACAACAGTTTTTCAAAAATGCCTGCGCTCGCGCTCCTGCGAACTTTCAAGAGAGCCATGCGTTTGTCAACATGTTCAATGAATTCGGCTAAGCTGGCTTCCCGCGCCGTCAAAATCTTTCGGGCGCCCCTGTGCGCGTGCTGGGGGGGCACGATCCGTTTCAAATAATAGCATGCGGGCCACTCGCGCGTCAGCCGCGCGCGCATGTCGAACTCCTTCCAAACCTTCATCACCGACGGGAGGACGCCGTCATCGTCGTCGGCATGATCAGCATCGGCGCCGTCACTGGCCTTGCCGTCGTCGATGTCATCATGGTCGCCGGCATCGCTATTGCCAGTATCGTGTGTGCCGTTGTCGGCGTTGCCATGATACCGCGCCCGCCTAAGTCGCCGACTCGCACTTCAGTGCCCGCTGGGAAGGGCCCAGCGGCGAGCGCCACCGCGGCACCGTCGGTCGCGCCAAAGTAGCTGGCCGCTTCGCGCGCGAGCATGCGCGGGCTAGCGCGGCAGCAGACATGCAACAGCCAACGCCAAAAACTCGTCGCGATCGCCGCCGCATGGGTTTTCCAAACCAAGTTGCGGATGGGTGGGTGGGATGGTCGCGCGAGCAGTGGAGTCGACAAGGCACTTCGAATAGACATTCGCTGTACTTCATAGTTTCCGCCACAGAGCTTGCACCACGTAGCTTGCATCCCATATGCTGCGTCACCGAGTATGTAGAACACTGTTCGGGGCCCGTGCTGGTTAGCATCAGGTGCTCAACACAGGACCCCTTTGATCTGGTACGCCTCCAGCTCACGAAAGCAGCCCGGTTTGCGCGATCGTTGCCCGCACATGTGCGCACCGATCATTTCCAAGTCTTCCACGGGGGCGTATTTTCGTTAGTCTCCAGTTTCCGATCGTGTCTAGTTTTTTCGTTGTTGTGAAAGCCTTAGGATAAATTGTCCAGGGCCAAAGAATGTACAAAGTGGTCGGCGTGCGCACTTGGAGAGCAATGGCAACGAACTGCCGTTAGCAACGTTGAGTGCAAACGTAATCGGCCACAGGGCTGGCCCATAGCCTTTTTGGGCTCGAGTCCCGATGCAGACAGGTCCCTGACGTCGTCGGCAAGGCCAACCAGAGGCTTTCGTCATTGTAGATCGCGCGGCTGCTTTGACCCCGCCGTGGTAGCCACCCAGTTCCGATTGGGAATGCCTTGCGGCCGTTGCCGCCGACCACGACGACGACGACGACGACGACGACGACGACGACGACGACGACGACGACGACGACGACGACGACGACGACGACGACGGTGGCGGCGGCGGCGGCGGCGGCGGGCGACGACGACGACGACGACGACGACGACGACGACGACGACGACGACGACGGCGTCGGCGGCAGCGGCGACGACGACGCTGACGTGGGGCAGAGTCTTCACGGATGCTTCGTGAATCCTCGTCGGAACGCTCTCGTAGGCCTCTGCGGGGCCTCTTGGGAGTATCTTGGGGGCCTCTTGGGAGCCGCTTGGGGGTCTTTTCGAGCTTCCTGGGGGCCTCTTGGGGGCCTCTTGGGGGCCTTTGGGGCCTCCTGGGAGCTTCTCGGGGCCGAGGGCTCGAAATGTTTGTTCGGGCTCCCGTGTGGGCACCCTCTTAGAGCCGTTTTGGACGCTTCTGGGGCCGTCCGGGAGGCCTCTAGGGCCGTCTTGGAGCCTTCTCGGGTTGTTTTGGAGCCGTCTTGGGAACCTCTTGGGGCCCTCTTGTGCAGATCTCGGTGGTATTTTGGGCAAAGATGAGAACGCTGGTATCTGTCAAAAACCGAAGGAAATCATTGATATTTGCCTGTTGGGACCCTCGTGGTGTGCTTTTGGAGGCCTCTTCGAGCGTCTTGGCAGCGGCTTGGGCCGTGAGGAAGCCATCTCTGGCGTCATGGACCGATCGTTTGGCGGTTCCGGGCCCTTTGGACCGTCTTGGGAACCTGTTGGGCTGTCTTGTTTTTTTTGTTCGAGCCCCAGGATCCCCTAGGGGACGTTGGTGTTCTGACCCGGGACCCCCCCCTGCTCCACCCCACCTCCACCCCCTCCCGGGCCACCCCCCCGGAGGACCCCCCAGGGGAGAAAGGATCAAAAGGTAGCGGCTTCATTTCCAGTCAACTGCGACGTTGCTCAAGTTCGGTTTGGTTTCGCTTTGGCTGGCGCGCTTGAGGTTTCGATTCGGTTTCGCTCTGGCTGGCGCGCTGGAGGAGGAGGGCCCAGTGACTGCGACGCCGACGCCGACGACGACGACGATGACGACGATGACGATGACCTCGACGACGACGAATACGACGACAGCGTCTTCCACACGCCGAAGGGTCGACGGATTTGGCTCCAGGAGGAAGTGGACAGGCCCGCACGCCGATGGCCGATGTATCGTTGTTCGAGGGGCTAGACTCCGTCAGCATGATGGCTGCCGTGGCGTGTGTTGCAGCCGTAGTCCTGGCGCTCTCGTTCTTCATATGCGTGCGGCAGCGGTATATGTTGCACATTAGCCGTGCCGCCAACGTCAAGCTTTTTCTCGATCTCTCCGAGGCAATACAGGGCGAACTGCTCGCCGAAAGGCACAGTGATGGTGTCGTGTTCAAGAGAGACTACAACTACAAGACGCGCAACAACAGCCGCAACGCTTCGAAATTCGGACGCTCTTGCAGTCTTGGGAGCGTCAGCATTGGCAGTGGCAGTAGCCCCAATAATAAACAGCTGGGTGGGCTCATGAACATATTTACACCAGGCTCTATTCACGCCGATGGCAGAAAGAATGCCAAGGAGGCTCTCGACCTGAGAGAGAACATGTGGCGTTGGGTGGTCGACCCTGAGGGCACCTTGAGCACCACCGACGACTGCTTGCATTCTGCTGTTAAGGTGTTGGTCTGCCTAAGCTTGAAATCCGAAGCTCCGAAGCGACCGTCTCAGCAAAAATTCGGGTACCTTTCGCAGGCACGCTCAGGTAGTGGACTCTCACTTGGCACCAGCGGCATGCATCTTCCGCACATAAGTAGCTCGCTCGGTTCAGATTCCTCAGCCGAGAAATCGAGAAGCGACAGGGAGCACTGCGCGCGGGTCGTGTCCAACACGCTGCTCAGGCTGTGCAAGAATGCCATGCTCGATGCCGTTGACGTACGGTGTTGCATTGTGGTCGACGCTGGACATGTACCTGGCTTCGTTAAGAGTGATGCGCCAGTGCTCCAGAGCGGCCACAACGACCATCTGATCGTCGCCGACATACTTCCGCTCATGTGCGACGCGGCCGACTACTGCATTTTGGTTTTCGATGATGGCGACTCGCTGAGCACCATCCCCCAGAGCAGAGAACTCTCTGCGAGCAGGGCGGTGTCGTCGCGGGATATCGGCAACACTGCTTTGAATGAGGTGTCCCGCATGTCATCAGCACAAGGACACGGGCGTATAGAGGATCCTCTCGCTGCGCGGGTTGCACGTCCGGAGCACGTGCAGTCCAGTCGTTGCGGGGGGCCTGGTGGGAGCCTCTTTGAGGCCTCTTGGAGACCTCTTGGGGGCATCTTGGGGCCTCTTGGGGGCTTCTTTGGGGTCTGTTGGTGTCTCTTGGGGGCGTCTTGCGCCGCCTTTGGGCGCTCTTGCTCCGTTTGGCCCCTTCGGAGGCCATCCTGTGAACCTCTCGCGGCCGCCTTGGGGCTCTCTTGGGGTCATCTTGGGCCGGCCTGGGGGCCTCTTGGACCGTCTCGGGGGCCTCTTTGGGCCCTCTTGGGGCCCTCTTGGGCTGTCTTGGGGTCTTCTTGAGGGCTTCTTGCGCCGTCTTGGAGGCATTTTGGAGGCTGCTTGGGCTGTCCTGGGCCTCTGAGAATTGAAAAAGGCGAGAACGCTTGACTCCTCAAACAACCTGGAGAAAATCAATGAGTTTGGCATCTGGAGGGGCTCTTAGGGGGTCCTCTTGGTGGCTTTTTGGGCCTGCTTGGGGCCATTTTGGACCGGGGACGGTCTCGGCGCGTACTGAGGCCATCTTGAGCCACCGCTGCGCCCTCTTAGACCCCCAAGAGACCCAAGGGGCCCAAATCATAGATTAGCCAGAGGTTTTCGTAGGTTTTGAGACCCAGAAAAGGGGTCCTCCATCTTTGGGTCGACGGATGTGGCGCGACTCCAGGGGGGGTTAGGGGGAAGACATAAGAAGGACATCCAATACAATATGGAGCAATCATGTAGTAATTGGGCAGATCGGATCTATTGCTTTATCGCCTCCACAGAAAAAGCTGCCGCTCAGCACGTGACCTCCAGACGTGGATTCTACAGGCTTGCGCCACGTCCGCGGACCGCTTGAATTTGGTTGTCTCTGGATCTGGTTTCTGTAGGTTGGTTGGTCATTGGTTCGGTTCGTCTTGGAGGCCATCTTGTCCGTCTTCGACTGTCTTGGGGCTGTTTTGGTGCCCTCTTGGGGGTCGCTGGGTTTGATTTGGGGCAGGTTTGGACGTCTGTCGGGCTGAATGAGGTTGTCGCAAGTCTGAGCTTGCAAGAACGCTAAGATCATTTAGAAACGCGATGGACAGCAGTGATTTCCGGCTTCTGAGAGGTATTCTGGAGATGTCCTTGTAGCGACTTGGAGCGTCTCAGGGGCCCGCTGGGCCGTCTGGGGACTATCTTGGGCCGTCCTTGGTCGATCCTGGGCCGTCTTGGAGGCAACTGGGGACCAGTTTGGGCTTTCATTAGGTCACCTTGGCCGTTTCGGAATCAGCTTGGGACCATCTTCGAGACCATCTTGGACCATCTTGGCCGTCGCGGTAACCACAGAAGAGAAAAGGATTGACGCTTCGTGTATCCCCGCCAGCCTATCCAGAAACGATCGCCAAGTGAGTTGCCTTGATCAGGCAAGTGTAGAAGCACGCAGTGCGATAACCGCCTTGGAAGCGCTTCGGGGGCGCAGAGAAGGCGTGAACATTTGGTGAATGACTTCTTGGAGTTATATTGGAACCCTCTCAGGGGGGGGGGGGGCCGATGGAAGAGGAGGAGGAGGAGGAGGAGGAGGAGGAGGAGGAGGAGGAGGAGGAGGAGGGAGGGCGCAGGAAGGACGGGAGGAAGGAAAGGACGATGACCAGGAGGATGAGGAGGCAGCCTTGCAGATGTGTTGTTTTGAGATGTTCTTGCAGGACTCTGAAGGCCATCTTAGGGGCTCTCTTGGGGTCCCCGTCGGGCCTCTGGGGGCAATCTTAGGGCCCTCTTGGGGCTCTTTTGGGGGGTCTTGGGGCCCTTTCGGGGCTCTTTGGGTGGGTCTGGGAGGCGTTCCACTGCAGGATATGACAAAAGCTTGCGCGGCGTTCCAAGGGGTTGCATAGTATTGCAGGGTCTTGCAGGGTGTTTGCAGGTTGCTAGCAGGGTCTTTGCAGGGTCTTTGCGGGGTCTTTGCAGGGTGGACTTGGCAGGGTCTTGCTAGGTCGTTTTGTAGGGTACTGCAGGGTATTGCAGGGTCCTTTTGCAGGGTCTTTGCCGGGGGGCTTTGCAGGGAGGGGTATTGCAAGAGGGGAGAGGGTAGGGAGAGGTTTTTTTTTTGGAAGAGAGAAGGAAGAACTCGCTAAGCCATGTACGCCCAGAGGGCATCGTTGCGCTCTTTTGGTGGCTGGAGGGACGCGCCGAGACCCATGGACTTGGCACATGCTGGAATGGTGCAAACGGTCCAACCTTCAGCAGCACGACGCCAACCCCTCTTGCAAGCAACAGGGGTCGGCTGATCCCGTGGCCTCAGGTTTACCCCGCCATCCTGCCTCTTCGATGCGCATTCGGGTTTCTTGGGGTACTTCTCAGCGGCCTCAGGGAAGGCTCCGGGGGCCTTGGGGAGCGTTCGGGGCATCTTGGGCGCCTTTGGTGGCCTATTGGACGCCCTTTGGGGCCTCCCTGTGCGCTTCGGTGGCTTAGGGGGGGTCTGTGGGCCATCTTGGGCCGCAAGGCTCGAGATCTCATGAGGTGTGTCCTCTCTTCAAGCCGTCTTCGGGGGTTTTCGGACTCGTCTTGGGGGCTCCTGGGCCTTCTTGGGCGATCTTCAGGCCTTCGCAGGCCGTCTTCGACCCCCTCAAGATCGAGACGGCGAGAACGCCAGAAGTCTACATCAACTCAGAAAAGATTCTGAGCAGTCTCGCCTCTTGGGTCGGGGGCGCCGGTGTTGTGCGGCGATGTTCTGCCAGAGGGTCGGGTCTGGGCGCCCGAAATGGGTACCGAAAGAATGGTTACAATGCCCAACAGCAGTTCCTGTTCATTTTGAACAGGCCTCGCTGTCCACGCCGCCGCGGCCTGCGTCCATTCGAGACAGGAGGCCGCCTGCCCAACAGCGGCCGCTGTTGGTTTGGGACAACATATGCTGTTGGGCATCGTACCCATTTTTTCGGTACCCATGTCGGGCGTCCAAATCGGGAGCGGCAGGTGGTGGCTTCCGGGGTCGCCTCGCGACGCGCTGCGCGTGGCGCCGGGCGTGCGCGCGCCGTCGGCGCGCGGCGCTCCCCGGGGTGTGGTGCGAGCCGCAGGCCTCCTCCTCCTCCTCCTCCTCCTCCTCCTCCTCCTCCTCCTCCTCCTCCTCCTCCTCCTCCTCCTCCTCCTCCTCCTCCTTCCTCCTCCTCCTCCTCCTCCTCCTCCTCCTCCTCCTCCCCCGCAGAGCCGCAGGGGGGGGGGCGCGGCACGTGAGCACGGTGGTGCGGTCGGGCTTGCGCGAGCGCGCGCCGGCCAAGGTAGGAGGGAAGCCCTGCTGGTGTCACGATGCTCCGCGCGGCTGTTGCGCGGAGTGCGTTCGCCTCCCTGCGCGTGTCCGAGATCCGTGGCGGCGCGGGCGGCAGACGAGTCCACACTGGGCCCGTGGGGAGACAAGAGCTTGCAGGTGGCAGTGGCGTAAATGCAGTCTGGTCGTCCGCGCCGGGATGGCTCACGATATGTTGAGCGATAATGCCCGAGGCATTTATTGTCTGGAGCCCTGACTTATGGCGACTGCTATCTCCCGCGCTACTCGTCCAACATTTCTTCGCGCGCGAGCTCGGGGTCGCCAGTTCGGGGTGCTCCGCGATTCCCGCCGCCGCTGGTTGCACCTCCCCATTGTCCACTATCACGCGCACCACGGGCGCCTCGATGGCGCGCACGGGACTTGTCAGGGAGCAACTCACCATCATCTTCTGTGCGCCACACGGACGTCCATCTGCCCAGGCGCGTGACCCGCCTACGCTGGATCAGCTTCCTGGTCCCCGCGGGGCTGGTGAGCGTTCAGCGTCATCAGCGTATCCCGACAGCTACGCCGGTGCCTCATGGAACGCCCAAGGCTTCCTGGCCTGCGATTTGGACAGGCAGAGCCTCAAGAGGCAGTAGTTCAGCCGGTTACTGGATAAACACGACTTCGTTAGCATGCAGGAGACGCATCTCACGAAGAACAGCGCGGACACCTTCGAGACACCGGCGGGAATCACCCTTTTTCGGTTCCATGGAGGCCGCAACCAGGGAGGGCTGACCCTGATGTTGCAGGACAGATTCTTGAGCCAGTTTTCGGATGTGGGCGCTGACAGCTGGGAGGAGATCTTGGCTGGCCATCTGGCAATCCTACACCTGAAAAGGCGTCGCTGGATCTTTGTCTATTGCCTCTGTTTACTTTCCCTCGGGAGGACGTGCCACACAAGACCGCCGAGCGCTGCGACGACGCCTGGGCCAGGCTATGGCGTCTCGCCCTGGCGCTCTGTGGCTGGTGATGGGCGATTTCAATTGGGCCGCTAAGACAGAGGACCGCATCAGCGTCGCCTCGCAGACTTTTTCCGGCCAGCGTGACGACGCAGAAGAGAGCGATTGGACACTACAGGTTGCCGAGCCAGGTCGCCTACGAGAGCTGGCACAACCAGGATTCACATTCTCCTCGCGAGAGGCGATGTCGCGGCTCGACCGGGTATACACCAACCACACAGCAGATGTCTTCAATGGCCGTTATGTGCGGCGGCGTGGCCGTGGCCGCCGAGAGACGTCAAAGGCGTTGCAATATCGGATCACAGACCTGGTTCATTTAGACATAAAGTACCAGCCCGACACGGCCGCCCACCTTTGCTCAATGACGCTTTTGTTCGGCATCCCGACTTTGCGAAGAGGGTTGCCCGGCAGTGCCACGACGATTTGGCACAGGCAACATTTCGAGATGAGGACGCGGACCCGCTGGTACGGCTGAAAGTTGTGAAGGCAGCTATGCCTGCAGTGGCCAAGCATCTGATTCATGATGGAAAACGATGTGGGACAAAAGGCGTTTTTGCGTGCTGCAGAGCCCCATCAACGGCGTCGGTGGTTTTCTCTCTGGTGGCGGGAATCCAGAAGGGCACGGAGCTTCGCAAGACATTGCCGCGCGGATGGGAAGGGATAGCACCGTCAGGGGTCACAATGTCGCCCCGCCCGACAGCGCTTGAAGGACAAGGCCGTGGAGTTCACGAAACA